ACCTCTGGCGAAGAAACGCTGTATGGTGCAGAATAATAATAATAATATTCCTTTTTGATTTATGAGCCATTTCTACGTTGTCGTTAATTAGGTTGCAATAAAGAATAACACACAACTTTGCAGTTATACCGTTTTCTTTCGATCCAATTCAGAACTCAGTTCGATCGATTCGAAACATACATTTTCCCTTTCTGCCTGTCACTCCGACATATGATAAATAAATGTTTATTTAACTGGACTGGGATTAGAAGCAGAACTTAAGTTATTAATCATATTTAATATAATGAAATGAAATCCATTTGCTTATTGTTGTGTCTATTTAAAGCGATTCATATAAATGTGCAACAATTGTCGTCGTTTATCGCTCGACTGGGCGAGAAAGAGGCAACCAAGTAACAACAAAAACAACCAGCAACTCATGCTCATGCATACGGAATCGAGACAAAAGATAGATATTTGATATGTCTTGGTCGCGTTATATTTATATTGTTTAGACTATTTTTATCTGCGCGCACCTAATGAAATTGTTCGGTTTGTCAAGCGTAAACGCAATCGTACTGAAATCTCAATATTTATAAATACAATAATTCTCTCTCTCTCTCTCTCTCTCTCTCTCTCTCTTCGTCGCTCTGTCTATCCTTCTTTCTATCTCTCACTCTTTGTTTGTGTTTATGTTTTATTGCAATATACTGCCATTCACTGTAGCATACGAATCGATTGACCAAGTAGATCTCTGTGTGTTAGACACGCTTGACAACCGCACAGAACACTGGTTTTGAGTATGCGAAGGCTAGATTTTTGAATTCTTCTTAGTCATTAGTTTTTATCACTCTCGAGACAATTGGAAAGGAAGTGGTGGTATTTGGTTTCCTTTTGAGTATGAAATCAAGAATAAAAATCTTTATGCAGAAGGCACACAATGTCACTTTGTACAGAAAGGAAAAAAAAGATTTTAAAGAGAGAAAAAAAAGCGATGGAAAATTTAATACGAAGTAATAATAATCGTTTGGATCGGCGCGACTTTCAAGTGGTGTTCAACAAAGCGTTGTCATTACTTTCGAATGGTGTGATTGCCACTGTCCAATGGATGTAACATTGAATTTAGCCATGTACTACTCTGTTCATAATTGTAAAACAATTTGCAAAGAGTCTTGCCAAAGTGAATCATATCGCTGACGGTTGATTTCTCGATTCGAAATCAACCCATGTTTTTTTTCTGTCTTTTTTCCACTTATCTTACATATAAACGGTTTAGAAAGTGTGCTTAAGAGGAGAAAAAGAAGCAAACAAGACGAAAAATAAAAAGAAGTCTCACCTTTCACTCTCGTCGACCGATTGCCCGTCATCGGTGGCAGTTGCGTTGACTACTGGCATTTTTGTTGGTCCATCAACAGAAACCGTGTCTGGGTCATTGATCGTGTTGTTCACATTAGCATTTGTTACACTCGCATTCACGTTGTTCGTGTTGCCTACGTTTGGCGCAATATTCGAAGAAGACGATGTAATCACGTTACTTATATTTTGTGCAGCGTTTCCTAGTAACAACAACAAAATGCACACATAAATTTAGCATTTAATTGCATTAGATATTTAATTTGATTAGACTGAATTGAACAGAGATTTAATTTTTTTTTATTAATCTCAATTTCTGGCCACCGTTAAGTGGAAATAGAAAAGGTCAAAGTGTCAAATCACGGTATAACTCACCTGTTTCACTGCTTATCACATTATTTCGGTTCGGATTAGTCACAACAGTTTGCTGAGCTGTTGCTTGAATTGGATGCACTAGAACGGGTTGCGTTTGCTGAATCATTGCCGAGGACTGTGTCGGTTGTGTTGGTATCGCTGAGTTCACATAATTCGGCTGAAGATTCACATTCGATTGATTCACATTGTTCATTTGACTGGTCGCCTGTTGCATGACATTCGCATCATGTGTTGCTTGAATTCCTATCGAATATGGCACGGCAGCAACATTACTGGCTATCGTTTGATTTTGGTTTGCATAATTTTGATTTTGTGGCTGAATATGCATTGAGCTGCTCACGACTGATGTCGGTTGTGAATGCATTTGGGCTTGTTGTGAATGTGGAACTTGCTGCATTTGCGTGTGGAGAGAGAAAAAGGCACAAGAAAACAAAGAAATGGTTCAAAATCTCATTGAGTCCAATTCAGGCGATTTTTTCCAATTGGAAAACTCAGATTTGGCAATAAGAAGTGCGCAATAAATGTGAAAATGAGACGCAAATCGGAAATTACCTGCTGCGGAATATATCCTGAATGATTGACAGCCATTGGATTCATTCCCGACGGCATGTTCATGTTCAGTTCGATATTGTTTGGTAAATGTCCCATGCTCATGGCTTGTTGGTGCGACACATTCACCATTGTCGGGGGTATTTGTGATGCTATGGGAAGACCAGCCATATGAGTTCCAGTCGTCACAATGCCCTGCAATGCATTTGCTGGCAACGTTTGACCGTGTGGATAGCTCACTTGTGGCTGTTGCTGCGATTGCATTTGCATTTGTTGTTGCGTTGGCATGGCCGTTTGCGCTTGAAATTGCTGCTGATTGGTTGGCATTTGCTATTTTGTGTTGCGGGGAAAAATGGAAAGAAAAATCATATTCAGTCCATGAAACCTACCAATTTACACACTGATGTGTTTAGCTCTGTATTATATTTCGATATTGGATCATTCAATGACACATAAAAAATTCACTAATCTCGAGAAAGAATATTGAATTGTCATGATTCGCAACATTTCCCATACTGAATGATTTAGGTGATAAGGAAAAGTTCCAAGAAAAGAAAGAAATTATTGAAATGTTCAGTTACCTGTTGGTATTGACCAGAGAATTGCTGCATTTGCGCCTGATATTGTGGTTGCTGTTGTTGTTGCTGCATTTGTGGCTTTTGGTACACATTGTTTGAGTTATCTGTGGCGATTTGGTTGTAGTATTGCTGGGCAGCTTGTTGATTTTGGAGATTGTTCTGGTATTGTTGTTGGTATTGATGAATTTCGTGGATTTGTTGCATTGGAATTGTTTGTGTGTTGTGTGCACTTTGACTGCCGCCCATTGACGTATTCGAATATTGTTGCGGTTGTTGTTGCGGTTGTTGTTGTTGTTGGGGCTGGAAGTTTGGTAATTGTCCATGCGAAACGGCCATTTGATGTTGTTGGACCGCGTTCGGTGTGGCTTGAATTTGATGATTCTGTTGCATTTGAGGTATAACATGTGACATAATTTGGGGCGGTAGGCTTTGGCCTTGTTGCACATTATGTGTTCCGACTGGATGATGAAACGCGGCCACGGGTTGTGTTTGATGTTGCTGTGGCTGTTGCTGCTGTTGTTGTTGTTGTGGCTGTTGTTGTTGCTGCTGCTGCAATTGCTGTTGTTGCTGTTGCTGCTGGTGAACCTCTTGAACAGTGTTCGACTGTAACACAGCCGCCGACTGCATATTCTGATTGTTCACCACATTCGCGAAACTATTTTGCAACGGTTGTTGCAACGTCTGGCCCGGCGATGTGTTTTCATTGGCCATGGCCGGTGCACTTTGACCAGAAATCAAATGAGCCGCTTGTACGGCCGCATTTTGGTTTTGATTCGGCAACATTTCCGTTTGAACCGTTTTGGCCTGTTTCTTTTGTTTCGTCGTCATCGTTGTATCGTTAAAATTCTCTGTCAACACAACACCGCTATCGTTTGTTGCAACCGTTTTACCATTACCGCCGAAATTCATTTGCACTTGCTTCGCCGATTGATCCAAATAGTCCATGCACGTCCACCGTCCACGTTTGAACGGTTCAATACTTTCGATTTTGACCACCTTAAATCGTTCACTGCCTTTAATTTCGACACCTTTGTTTTTATCAACCGCTGTCGTAACACAATTAACACGAACGTCCGGCAATTTCTTGCCAACTTGATTGCTATTCACACAATTCGTTAGATCAGCTGACATATTGTTCTGCATAATGGGTATACCGTGCGCATATGCCGTCGCAAATACGTCGTCCTTCGAATACATGTTCGAGTCTTCGGAATAGCTAGGCGTTTCGTTTTCCATGTCGGTGACACGGCTATTTTCGTCTGTGGTATGAGATTCGTCTAAATCGTCCGCTGAATCTTCATCAGCACTGGTTCTGGTGCCCACGGTAATCGATGTGATTTGATAGGATGATGTTTTCGGTTTCATATCCATATTGATGTCGGGCAAAGTTACGAAGGCCGAAGTTGTGGTGGAATTTGTTTGAAACTTTCCATTATTTGTCATCAGCAGGGTTGCCGTAGGTGGCACAAATGTTTGCTGTGTATTATTTTGTAAATTATTCGAAATAGTTGTTGATCCGACACTGTTTGCAGTCAATCCACTACTGAAATTTGTGTTTCCATTTGCCAGCACATTACCATCAATACAATTGCTATTCATTGATAACCGGAGACTTTCGCTAGTCGTTCTCTGTACGACTTTTGCATTGGCTTTGTTATTTCGATGATGATGATTTACTGCTGTTGCTGCTGTTGTTGCATTGGTTTGCGAAGAAGACATAGTTGGCTTCAACGCTTTTAGTTTTTGTTGCCTTTTTTTCTTTC